AGTGCATTTTGCAGCAAACAAGTGCATTTATCCTCTTCCAACATCCAGTTCATTTACACGTTTGGATTTTTTGACGAACCATTGCTACATGGAAATTGTTGATTTTTATTTATGTACAACTGACGATGATTTACGCTAGTGAGCGCACAAGGTAGATGCGAAGCAACAACCGTTCATAATTTAACGCCTGATTAATTCAAGTTTGGTGCAAAAATGCATGTTCGCCCCGGCAAGCCTGGTGCGTTTCAGCCTGGGTATTTAATTTATGTACTCAGTAGAGCAAATCATTCTAAATTTTGCATAAAGGAAAGTGAATAATTTCTATTCATTGAAATGGTCTTCCATTGAAAATGACTATACTGTTCAATGAGCTATTTTTCTGCCAAAATTTTCAAGCGCCTGCACATGAGAGCCGCACACACCTGAGGGCTATGTTTGAAATCTTTTAGTTGTACATAGATAGGGGATATCACTCTAAAATCTCTGCTTTCCAGCTTTTCTGGTTTTCCTTATGCTAAAATTAGAAGTCTGTTTATGAGTCAAAGATGTGGAATTCATTTCTCTCCTCTTTACTCTAAAAGCACAGTTCATTTATTACACATTAGTAGTCCAATTAAGAGCGTTATAATCATCAGTAATGCCTCGCTAAGTGACTTTTGAACGCAGTGTATATCGGTACCAGTTACTATGGAAATCAACGATTGCAGATGGTTTGATTTGCTCAACACTACCTGGAACTATGAGTTCAGACGTGCATTGCTTGACTAGACCGGTCTAGTCCGCAGGACGAGGCTTGTTTGCGAACATATGCGCGAAATATGCAGCAATGAAGCATTCCACAAATTGAAACTCTCAATGAATTCAGTTTACTTGTTCATTTAAGAGTGCCACAAAGCGGCAGCACCTGTCCGTAGATATCCTTCCAAGCACAACGGGATTTCGCGGATCACGAGCAGCAAGATATTTTCGGAGGTTCTGCATGACAAAATAGGTTTGCTCATCGCCAAAAACGGTCCACTCTGGCGTCTCATCGATCTCTTCCAATTTCGCAAAATAACGCATCATATGCCAGTAAAGCGCCCAGTGATACTGAGTTTTTACTGTCTTTACAAACGCAATATTCAGTTCCTCTAAATGGCGCTTTTGATTTCTCGTCACAAAATCACTTATTCCTGTCGCTTTGTACAGATTACAATACTCTTTAAACACAACACAGGAAAGACCGCCAAAAGACCGGAAGGACCGTCTGGAAAGCCAGAATGGAACTGTGCGAATAAGAAATGTTAAAAAAAAGGCAGAAATGTTGCCAGCAGCACTGAAAGTGACAAAATACAGCTGATTAAAGTATCAAAGTACGGGCCCGCCAAAATTTTTTTCGGATAAGTTCATAACTCGGTGATCTGAAAAGCTAGAGTGCTGAAATCTTAGAGGGACGTTTCCCGACCAAGTAGATGCTAATGCTCTGAAACCCATCCGCCATGCAAGCGTGGTATCCCCATACGGGCCAGCCAAAGTTGACGGTAATTTTAACCCACGCTGGAACGCACCAGGCTCTCCTTTGCGATCATGCGTTTTTGCACTAAACTCACAGATCGCAATTAGTAAGAATGATCCCTACGCTGTAGCCTGACAATTGGGTCATGTTGTCCGTGCTTTGATCCTTTCCGGCATGAAGGAGGAAGGGCGTCAGTTGGGATGAAGGTGGTGCATTATAGAGCCGCACGGACATCTAGGTGCATGATTACTGGTTTTTTGCATGAAGTCCGTTTGTTTTTTCAGTAGATGCTCGCTTTGTAAAAAAAATGACAAATGCAAATTTTTTGAAAAAATGGAAATTTCCAGTTCACTAAAAAGTGAA